GCTGTCCCTTAGGGGCATTTGACCCCCCCCCCAATCATCACAAACCCCACCTAACCACAGCCCCATATAGGCCCCCACCAAGGCTCTCGCTCCCCCAACCCCAATATTCTTGCATGACCACAATGATAGAAAAGAAACTGAAAGTTTGGTACACAAACGCTGATGGAATAACGAATAAACATGAGGAGTGGAACGAAAGAATCAGTGAAAAATCCCCAGACATCATAGCAGTCACAGAAACAAAACTCTGATATCCCAATGGGATATCAGATCCTGAGGAAAGATAGAAGGAGTAGAGGGGGAGGAGGGGTTGCACTGCTCATAAAACACCGATGGGGATTTGAGGAAATGGAAGGCATGGACATGATTGGAGAAAGAGACTACATTGTAGGTACAATTCAGTCCGGAGAACATAAAGTAGTCATTGGAGTGATGTATAATCCACCACAGAACTGCAGGAGGCCAAGAGAGGAGTACGAAGAAAACAACAGGGTGATGGTGGACACACTGGCTGAGGTGGCAAGAAGAGCTCACTCGAGCAGAGCAAAGTTACTGGTAATGGGCGATTTCAACCACAGGGAGATCGACTGGGAAAACCTGGAGCCACATGGGGGTCCCGAAACATGGAGAGCCAAGATGATGGATGTGGTACTTGAAAACCTCATGCATCAACATGTCAGGGACACAACCAGAGAGAGAGGGGAGGATGGGGCCAGCAAGACTGGATCTTGTGTTCACCCTGAGCAGTTCAGACATTGAGGACATCACTTACGAGAGGCCCCTTGGAGCTAGCGATCATGTGGTTCTGAGTTTTTGATTATATAGTAGAGTTACAAGTGAGAAGGTAACAGGAACTGAAGGGGTCAGGCCAAACTATAAAAGGGGGGACTACACAGGTATGAGAAACTTCCTGCAGGAGGTTCAGTGGGACAGAGAAATGGTAGGAAAATCAGTAAACGAGATGATGGAATATGTGGCAACAAAGTGCAAGGAGGCAGAGGAAAGTTTTGTTCCCAAGGGAAACAGAAATAATAGGAAGACCAAAACGAGTCCTTGGTTTACCCGAAGGTGTAGGGAGGCAAAAACTAAGTGCAACAGAGAATGGAAAAGGTACAGGAGGCATAGGACCCAGGAAAACAAGGAGATTAGTAGAAGAGCCAGAAATGAGTATGCACAGATAAGGAGGGAGGCCCAGCGACAGTATGAAAACGACATAGCATCGAAAGTTAAATCTGACCCGAAACTGCTGTATAGCCACATTAGGAGGAAGACAACAGTCAAGGACCAGTGATAAGGCTGAGGAAAGAAGGTGGAGAACTCACAAGAAACGATCAAGAGGTATGTGAGGAGCTCAACACGAGATTTAAGGAAGTATTTACAGTAGAGATAGGAAGGACTCTGGGGGACAGACCAGATGGGGACATCAGCAAGGAATACACCAACAAGTGTTGGACGACATACATACAGATGAGGAGGAGGTGAAGAACTGCAAGGGGACATCGATACCTAAAAGGGCAATGGGACCGGACAACATTTCCCCGGGGGTCCTTAGAGAGGGAGCAGATATGTTGTGCGTGCCATTTAAACCACAATCTTCAACACGTCCCTGGAAACTGGGCAACTACCTGAGGTATGGAAGACAGCAAATGTAGTTCCCATTTTAAAAAGGAGACAGAAAAGGGGCACTAAACTATAGACCTGTGTCATTGACGTGTATAGTATCCCAAATTATGGAGAAGTTTATCAGGAGGAGAGTGGTGGAGCCCCTGGAACGAACAGGAGATAAATGCCAACCAGACGGATTCATGGAAGGCAAATCCTGTGTCACAAACCTTCTGGAGTTTTATGATAAAATAACAGAAGTAAGACACAAGAGAGAGGGGTGGGTGATTGCAACTTCTTTGGACTGCAAGAAGGCCTTTGACACAGTTCCTCACAAGAGATTAGTGCAGAAGCTAGAGCATCAGGCACATATAACAGGAAGGGCACTGCAATGGATCAGAGAATACCTGACAGGGAGACAACAACGAGTCATGGTACGTAATGATGTATCACAGTGGGCACCTGTGACGAGCGGGGTCCCACAGGGGTCGGTCCTAGGACCAGTGCTATTTTTGGTATATGTGAACGACATGATGGAAGTGTTAGACTCAGAAGTGTCCCTGTTTGCAGATGATGTGAAGTTAATGAGGAGAAATAAATCTGATGAGGACCAGGCAGGACTTCAAAGAGACCTGGACAGACTGGACACCTGGTCCAGCAAATGGCTTCTCGAATTTAATCCTGCCAATGCAAAGTCATGAAGATAGGGGAAGGGCACAGAAGACACAGACCGAGTATAGGCTAGGTGGCCAAAGACTGCAAACCTCACTCAAGGAGAAAGATCTTGGGGTGAGTATAACACCGAGCATGTCTCCGGAAGCGCACACATCAACCAGATAACTGCTGCAGCATATGGGTGCCTGCAAACCTGAGAACAGCATTCCGATACCTAGTAAGGAATCGTTCAAGACACTGTACACCGTGTATGTCAGGCCCATACTGGAGTATGCAGCACCTGTTTGGAACCCTCACTTGATAAAGCACGTCAAGAAACTAGAGAAAGTACAAAGGTTTGCGACAAGGTTAGTTCCAGAGCTAAGGGGAATGTCCTATGAAGAAAGATTAAGGGAAATCGGCCCCTGACGACACTGGAGGACAGGAGGGTCAGGGGAGACATGATAACGACATATAAAATACTGCGTGGAATAGACAAGGTGGACAAAGACAGGATGTTCCAGGGAGGGGACACAGAAACAAGAGGCCACAATTGGAAGTTGAAGACACAAATGAGTCAGAGAGATATTAGGAAGTATTTCTTCAGTCATAGAGTTGTAAGGCAGTGGAATAGCCTAGAAAATGACGTAGTGGAGGCAGGAACCATACACAGTTTTAAGACGAGGTTTGATAAAGCTCATGGAGCGGGGAGAGAGAGGGCCCAGTAGCAACTGGTGAAGAGGCGGGGCCAGGAGCTAAGACTCGACCCCTGCAACCACAAATAGGTGAGTAAATAGGTGAGTACATACACACATACATACACACACACATGATAACTAACACACACACACACACATACACATGCATGCACATACAACAGGCCTAGTGTCTAATCGACATGTGCCTAGGACCAAATAGTAACTAACAGTAGTACCTCGGGCTTTGAACTTACAGTGGTCCCTCAATAATCGTCTGGCCTGAAAGTTGTCCATTTCAGAAATAGTCCCGTTATTTCGTCTAAACATTGGCTCGCAAATGGTCCGTTAACTCGCTAATCGTCTTTTGTCCTGGACACATACTTACGGCTCTGAGCCGCCTATGCCTCTCTTCCCAGCCAGTGTCCCATTGTTTACCAGTGAACGATGGTCCCCTCACGTGTTCATACGAAATATTTCATAATATTCCATTCATTTTGGTGCTTTCAAGTGCTAAATAAGCTACCATAGCTCCAAAGAAAGTTAGTGCCAAGCCTTTGGTAAAGAAGGTGAGAAATACGATTGAATTTAAGAAAAACATCATTGAACAATATGAAAGTGGCGTACGTGTGCGCGAACTGGCCATGATGTATAACAAATCCTGTACAACCATATCTTCCATCATAGCCAAGAAAAAGGAAATCAAGGATGCTGTTGTTGCAAAGGGGGTAAATATGCTGACAAAAATGAAATCACCAGTACTCGAAGGTGTTGGGAAGTTATTATTGGTGTGGATAAACGAGAAACAATTAGCAGGAGATAGTCTTATGACGTCGCTTATTTGTGAAAAGGCTAGGCAGTTGCATGACGATTTGGTCAAGAAATTGCCTACAACTAGTGGTGATATGAGTGAATTTAAGGCCAGCAAAGGCTGGTTTGAGAGATTTAAGAAGCATACTGGCATACACAGTGTGATAAGGCATGATGAGGCTGCCAGTTCGGACCAAAAAGCAGCTGAAAAATACATGTATGTGCAGGAATTCAAGGAGTACATAGAGGCTGAAGAACTGAAACCTGAACAAGTGTTCAATTGTGATGAAACAGGCCTCTTTTGGAAGAAAATGCCAAAGAGGACCTACATTACTCAGGAAGAAAAGGCACTGCCAGGACACAAGCCTATGAAAGACAGGCTGATGCTCATGTTCTGTGCTAATGCTAGTGGGGATTTCAAAGTGAAGCCGTTACTAGTGTACCATTCTGAAAATCCCAGAGTGTTCAAGAAAAACAATGTTATGAAGAGTAAATTGTGTGTGTTTTGGAGATCTAATAATAAGGCATGGGTCACGAGGGACATTTTCGTCGAAGGGGATTCCCCTTCCAAACAGTAATTCAATCTCTCTCCTCCTCCAGTCTTCCATACACTAAGAAGAATCGCCAATAAAGGTAAGTGTTATGCTGTTAATGTTTCATTCATCATGTGCCATTGTATTGTTTATGTACTACATCTATATTTCATGTTAAAAATTTTTTTGTTTTAGTACTTCTGCGTGTCAGGAACGGATTAATTGTATTTACATTATTTTTTATGGGGAAAATTAATTCGAAAATCGTCTATTTCGATAATAGTCCCACTTCCAGGAATGGATTATGGACGATAATTGAGGGACCACTGTAACTCGTTCCGGAAGGCTTTCCGAGTGCTGATACCGAACGAATTTGTTCCCATAAGGAATAATGTAAATTAGATTAATCCGTTTCAGACCCCAAAAAATACATTTATAAAAGCGCTTATATAAATACACTTACATAATTGTTCGAGTTTTGAGCTGTTCGTACCCTGAGGTACCACTGTATCACTGTATATATATGTGTGTGTGTGTGTGTGTATATATATATTATTTATTTATTTATTTTTTTTTTTTTTGGTTATACCCTAGATGGTGCTTCACGGTTGGCGGGGCTACAAGACTTATGCATGGGGGAAAAATGAACTTCGGCCTGTAAGCAAACGGGGTCACACTGCAGGAATCTTCGGCAGACAAGATATGGGAGCTACAATAGTTGATGCACTTGACACCCTCTACATTATGGGATTAATGGAGGAGTTCAATGAAGGTCGTGCATGGATTCAGTACCACCTAGACTTTAATCAGTTGGTAAGTTTCAATACTGGCTCTGCATTTTTCCATATATTTGACTGGGGCCTGCTTACCTGGAGAGGGTTTGGGGAGTCAACACCCCTGCAGCCTGGTCTGAGACCAGGCTTGACTACAATAGCTTTATTGTTCACATCAGTACTGGCAAATTTCCAGTGTGTTGATAATTAAATATATTTACAGTTGATTAGAAAATTTTAAGATGCATTATTCTCTAATGTATAGATTTTTTTCAATGTCATGTTGCTTTATTTTTAGGCTTATTTAAATGCAGTAATTAAATATAGCACTTAATATTTCAGACTTTTTGAGGAGGGTGCTTTGATGCTTTTGAAAGGCTCTTGATTCAAAGAAACTGTAGATAAAGTAAACCCTCATTATAACAGACCCTGATATAATGGACTTTTAAAATTATGAGCAGAATCCACTGGGTGACTTGTACTTCTAATTCTTTTATTTTTCAATGTTTATTGCAGTATATCTAAACTGTGTACAGTACTATACAGGTACGACCGATTTTTCCAGCACCCTCGGTTCCTAAGCTTTACCAGTTTATTGCTTTTGCCAAACCACTGTAGGTCATACAATAAAAATTCAACAATACACCTCTGACCCACCTTGGTCTTCTGGAAACTTAAACCTTACCATAAATGAAACAGGCTTATTTATTACTGTACTTACAAAGAATATTGCAGTTCTACCATTCTTAAAGTGGTAAATTTTAGAATTTTACTGTAACTGTAGAACTAATTAAAAAGGTCTAGAAGTTGAGGGTTATCAGGATTACTGTCTGTTTCATAGTTGACTATTACAGGGAGTACATCAGGGTATGTGAAGTTGAAGCTACAGTATTCTTAGATGAAGAGCTACTGCTGTGACACACATTCTTAGCTATCTTTTTAAATATTTTATCCAAGTAAAGTTGTTTCATGTGCCTTGATCTTACCCTGTGTAATTTTTTCATGCATTAAATAATTCATGAGCTCTTGTTCTGCGACAAAGGAACATTGTTCTAGCCCTTTAATTAATTCATCTAGCAACTCAATTTGTCAATAGCCATAGCTGTTGCCAAGTTACTTGTATAACTATTAACCCTAGTCATAGCTAGGGTTAATTGTTTGAAAAAATATGCTATGCATCACACAAAATCATAGAATCATCGCCAACAACTGCAGTGTAAGCAATACAAGTGAGCATGCACTACATGCAGTGTCGTCTGTGGCCTCCCAGTAACTTTTTTTTTGGCAAAAAAGTAGTCTGTAATTTTGACTGGACTAAAAGAGATGCTGGACACACTGTTGCCAGTAAATTATTGTTCCTGTAGTAGGTACACTGTTCAGTATTACAGCACATTTTATTATTTTTTTTAACATTCTAAATTAATGGATACTTGGACAATCCCTCTATTAGATCATTATATCAAGGGTTTACTACATCTTCCCCTTTGTTAGGGACAACCTGACTGCCTCCCATTCCCCAGGTGGGTTTAGCACATCCCGTGATTATAATAGTAATTATTGTTTCAGAGATCAGAAATGTCTGTGTTCGAGACCAATATTCGGTTTGTTGGGGGCCTTCTCTCAGTCTATTCTCTTACTGGTGATCCGCTGTTTCGAGACCGTGCTCTACACATTGCTCGGAAACTTCTGCCAGCCTTTGATACTCCTACTGGCATACCATATGCTCTTATTAATGTTGGCAATGGGGTAAGAGATACTGTATATTCTTTGTGCACTGTATATTTTTTTTTTTGTCTCATCATTTTTAATTACTGAATGTTAAATCAACTTGTTTAGTGCGATTAAACTTATATTTTCAGTTTAGTGTTATATAATTTAGTATGATGAAAGGAATTAAGTAAATTTAAGAGGTATATCTTTGACCTCTTGACTTTGTATAAAGAAATTGTTCTGTATAAGTACAGTAGGGCCCCACTTATACGGCAGGTTAGGTTCCAGGCTACCACCATAAAGCAGACATTGCCGGAAAGCAGAACGCCATTTTTTCCACTTATAAATGCATACAGTGGAACCTCTGGTCATGACCATAATTCATTCCAAAACTCTGGTCATGACTCGAACCTAATTTCCCCATTGGATTGCATGTAAATACGATTAATCCGTTCCAAACCCCTACAAACTGCATGTAAATATTGTTTTTTTAAGATTTTTAAGCACAAAAGTAATTATACCATTGAATGCACAGTTTAATAGTAAACTAAATGTAAAACCCTTAAATAACACTGAGAAAACCTTGAACAACAGAGAAAACTAACATTGGATGAGTCCTAAGAGTTTTAAGGGGCATCTAATGGCTGAGCAATGCACTCTGTTACTTATTGTCTGATTTCTTTCATTTTTGGTGTACATTACAAAGCATCTTTCCATCATACATTTCCCAAGTTTCAATGAGATAGCCCAACAAACAACTGAGAGAAAAAAATATTTACCAAAAATCATATATGGCAAGCCCTAGCAAGGTACTGGCACTGGGAGAAGCTGTTTCGGCACTACCTGCTGATAAAACATTGCTAATCCGAATTTATCATGGTCGTAATTACAGGAAGTGGGGGAAAATTGGCGCGTTTGAAAAAATGGAGTGGAATGTGAAAATTGGCATGGCTGTTTGTTCGGCACCTGATTATGTGTTGGTGACCAGATGCAAAAATTTGGCAGATTTTTTTATCGTGAACCAATTTGTTCTTGTTCAGAAACGTTTATGACCAGAGGTTCCACTGTATAAATACCATGTAACAAGTTTACACTAACATATATTAAGTTAGCAATAGAACTAGGCATTAAAAAAGAATAAAAAGTAAAATACGTACACACACAGTACATTCATTATTTACCTCAAAATATTTGTAGTCTTAATGTCGGGCAAAAGATGAGTAGTATTTATTTGTAAAAAGTCAGGTGTGGGAGGTATGGTAGCCTGCCTGGCCACCCCACCCACACATAATATACTACTACATTTAAAGCACCCTAAAGCGATAAAATGTATATACAGTACACTCATTATTTACTTTAAAATATTGTAGTCTTAATGTAGGGTGAGAGGGCAGCGAGATAAAAATGAATAAATGAGAGAGAGAACGAGTAAGAGGACAGAGCTGCGAGTACTATGTAAACAGAGGGACAAATGCATCTGTATAGTTCATACACGTTCAAACAAACACCTCACATGGTGTACAAGTTGTCTCCACAGTGGTACAGTAGAATAAATAAAGAGCAACACTTCCATTCTCATGTAGCATCATTTTTAGAAGGAATGATATTCTGACAAGTTACTACAGAATAATAAATAAACAGCAACACTCCCATTCTCATGCAACACACCATTTTTAGAGTGAATGATGATATTATTATTATTATAATCATAATAAAAAAAACACTAAACCCACAAGGGTCATGAATAGCTATAGATAAAGTGAAGGCATACGAAAGGAATATTTTTCTACAGTTATCCCCCAGTCACTGGTGTTTGACTAGAGAAAACGTAATTCTTCCAACAATCCTACAAACTGCTTGGTAAACACATCTCATATTTATGTCAATTTTTATGCTGTGGGTGTATCATGTTTATATGTTATGTAGCGTGTTAAGTATATAATTTTGAAAAAAATATCATAGATGAATTAATAGAAATGTCTGTATTAACATAATATACAACATTTAATGCACCCAAGAGATTATTATATGGCATCAATAGTAGAGAGAGACTGTGATTTTAATGTGTACCTGCATGCCAGCACAGTGTGTAAGCATATTTAGGTATAGGTACACAAATATAATTATCAGAGTACATATAAAATATGTAATAACTTTAAAACACTTGAGATTTTGGAAAGTTTCCAGACATAATAGGGAGATGTGCTCACGGAGAATGTAAACAAGCCAGGTGGGGTGCACCATATTAGAAAGACAGGGAGCTGTATAGCAAGTTTTGGTCATAATTTGAAATTGCTGTATTAGTAGAAAGCCGTAAGGTGTAACGCCGTAAAGCAGGACCCTACTGTATTGCTTTAATTTTATGTGATATATTGTTCTTTTGCTGCTTGTGTATGCTATATCTGGATTTTTTTTTACTATACAGTACATGTGTATGCTAAATCAGGTTAGTTTAACTGAACTTTTTTTTTTTTCAACAAGTCGGCCGTCTCCCACCGAGGCAGGGTGACCCAAAGAGAAAGAAAATCCCAAAAAAAGAAAATACTTTCATCATCATCCAACACTTTCACCTCACTCACACATAATCACTGTTTTTGCAGAGGTGCCCAGAATACAACAGTTTAGAAGTATATACGTATAAAAATACAAAATATATGTGTCCAAACTGCCAATATCCCAAACTGCTCCTTTAGAGTGCAGGCATTGTACTTCCCATTTCCAGGACTCAAGTCCGGTTATATAAAATAACCGGTTTCCCTGAATCCCTTCACTAAATATTATCCTGCTCACACTCCAACAGATCGTCAGGTCCCAAATACCATTCATCTCCATTCACTCCTATCTAACACGCTCACGCACGCTTGCTGGAAGTCCAAACCCCTCGCCCACAACACCTCCTTTACCCCCTCTTTCCAACCTTTTCGAGGACGACCCCTACCCTGCCTTCCTTCCCCTACAGATTTATATGCTCTCCATGTGTTTCTTCTTTCATCCATTCTCTAAATGACCAAACCACCTCAACAAACCCTCTTCAGCCCTCTGACTAATACTTTTATTAACTCCACACCTTCTCCTAATTTCCACACTCCAAATTTTCTGCATAATATTTACACCACACATTGCTCTTAGACAGGACATCTCCACTGCCTCCAACTGCCTCCTTGCTGCAGCATTTACAACCCAAGCTTCACACCCATTTAAGAGTGTTGGTACTACTATACTTTAATACATTCCCTTCTTTGCCTCAATAGATAACATTTTTTGCCTCCACATATACCTCAATGCACCACTCATCATTTTTCCTTCATCAATTCTATGATTAACCTCATCCTTCATAAATCCAGCTGCTGATACGTCAACTCCCAAATATCTGAAAACATTCACTTCTTCCATACTCCTCCTCCCCAATTTGATATCCAATTTTTCTTTATCTAAATCATTTGATACTCTCATCACCTTAGTCTTTTCTATGTTCACTTTCAACTTTCTACCTTTACACACATTCCCAAATTCGTCCACTAACCTTTGCAATTTTTCTTTAGAATCTCCCATAAGCACAGTATCATCAGCAAAAAGTAACTGTGTCACTTCCCATTTTGTATTTCCCCATAATTTAATCCCACCCCTCTCCTGAACACCCTAGCATTTACTTCTTTTACAACCCCATCTATAAATATATTAAACAACCATGGTGACATTACACATCCCTGTCTAAGACCTACTTTTACTGAGAAGTAGTCTCCCTCTCTTCTACACACCCTAGCCTGAGCCTCACTATCCTCATAAAAACTCTTTACTGCATTTAGTAACTTACCACCTATTCCATATATTTGTAACATCTGCCACATTGCTCCCGTATCCACTCTATCATATGCCTTTTCTAAATCCATAAATGCAATAAAAACTTCCCTACCTTTATCTAAATACTGCTCACATATATGCTTCAATGTAAACACTTGATCTACACATCCCCTACCCACTCTGAAACCTCCTTGCTTATCTGCAATTCTACATTCTGTCTTACCTCTAATTCTTTCAATAATAACCCTACTGTATACTTTTCCTGGTATACTCAGTAAACTTATTCCTCTATCATTTTTACAGTCTCTTTTGTCCCCCTTCCCTTTATATAAAGGGACTATACACGCTCTCCGCCAATCCCTAGGTACCTTCCCCTCTTTCATACATTTATTAAACAAAAATACCAACCACTCCAACACTATGTCCCCCCTGCTTTTAACATTTCTGTCATGATCCCGTCAGTTCCAGCTGCTTTACCCCCTTTCATTCTACATAATGCCTCACGCACCTCCCCCCCACTCACATTCCGTTCTTCTTCACTCCTAAAAGATGATATACCTCCCTGGCCAGTGCATGAAATTACCGCCTCCCTTTCTTCGTTGACATTTAAAAGTTCCTCAAAATATTCTCGCCATCTACCCAAAACCTCAATCTCCCCATGTACTAACTCCCCTTCTCTGTTTTTAACCGATAAATCCATTTGTTCCCTAGGCTTTCTTAACTTGTTTAACTCCAAATTTTTTTCTTATTTTCATTAAAATTCCTTGACAGTACCTCTCCCACTCTATCATTTGCTCTCTTTTTGCACACACTCACCACTCTCTTCACCTTTCTTTTACTCTCCATATACTCTACTCTTCTTATAACACTTCTACTTTGTAAATACCTCTCATAAGCTACCTTTTTCTCTTTTATCACACCCTTTACTTCATCATTCCACCAATCACTCCTCTTTCCTCCTGCACCCACCCTCCTATAACCACAAACTCTTGCCCCACATTCTAATACTGCATTTTTAAAACTATTTCAACCCTCTTCAACCCCCTCACTATTCATACCTGCACCAGCCCACCTTTCTGCCATACTAGTTGCTTATATTTCACCCGAACTTCCTCCTCCCTTAATTTATACACTTTAACCTCCCTCTTACTTGTTGTTGCCATTTTCCTCTTATCCCATCTACCTCTTACTCTAATTGTAGCTACAACTAGATAATGATCCGATATATCAGTTGCCCCTCTATAAACGTGCACATCCTGGAACCTACCCATCAACCTTTTATCCACCAATACATAATCTAACAAACTACAGTGGACCCTCGACTAACGCTATTAATCCGTTCCTGAGAGCTCATCGTTAGTCAAAATAATCGTTAGTCAAGTTAATTTTCCCCATAAGAAATAATGGAAACAAATTAATCTGTGCAAGACACCCAAAAGTATTGAAAAAAAACAATTTTAACACATGAAATATTAATTTTAATACACACAAACTGAAGAAGACATGCACAGTTACATGACACTTACCTTTATTGAAGATCTGGTAATGATTGATGGGATGGGAAGAGGGGAGTGTGTTGATGGTCTTAGTGTTTAGAAGGGGAATCCCCTTCCATTAGGACTTGAGGTGGCAAGTCCTTTTTCGGGGTTACTTCCCTTCTTCTTTTAATGCCACTAGGACCAGCTTGAGAGTCACTGGACCTCTGTCGCACAACATATCTGCCCATAGAGGCCTGTACCTCCCGTTCCTTTATGACATTCCTAAAGTGTTTCACAACATTGTCAGTGTCACCATTAAACACTTGTTCAGATTTCAGTCCTTCACTGTCTATGTACTCCTTGAATTCCTGCACATATTTTTCAGCTGCTTTTTGGTCCAAACTGGCAGCCTCACCATGCCTTATCACACTATGTATGCCACTACGATTCTTAAATCTCTCAAACCAACCTTTGCTGGCCTTAAATTCACTCACATCACCACTAGTTGCTGGCATTTTTCTAATTAAATCGTCATGCAACTTCCTAGCCTTTTCACATATGATCGCTTGAGAGATGCTATCTCCTGCTATCTGTTTTTCGTTTATCCATACCAATAAGTCTCTCAACATCATCTATCACTTGCGATCTCAGTTTCGAAAACATAGTTGCACCTTTGGCAAGAACAGCTTCCTTGATTGCCGTTTTCTTGGCCACAATAGTAGCGATGGTTGATTGGGGTTTTGTGTACAGCCTGGCCAGCTCGGAGACATGCACTGTACTTTCATACTTAGCAGTGATCTCTTTCTTCATCTCCATAGTAATTCTCACCCTTTTTGCTGTAGGGTTGGCACTTGGGGCCCATGGTGACTTATTTTGCAGGTGCAATCACTAAAAAGGCTGTGATAATATGAAATGTTCCGATTGTATGCTTGGAAGCAACCGCGGTGGCTGGCTGGCTTGTAAACACTGGCCAGAAGTGGACGCGTCTCAGACGGAACGAATAGTGTTGGTTGAGTTTTTTAGCGCTAATCGAGGCAAAATTTTTGCGATAAAATGTATCGCTAGTCAGATTTATCGTTAATCGATGCCATCGCTGGTCGAGGGTCCACTGTACTTTCATTACGTGCTACATCATACCTTGTATGTTTATTTATCCTCTTTTTCATAAAATATGTATTACTTATTACCAAACCTCTTTCTACACATAGCTCAATTAAAGGCTCCCCATTTTCATTTACTCCTGGCACCCCAAACTTACCTACTACTCCCTCCACAACATTTATTCCCACTTTAGCATTAAAATCCCCAACCACAAGTACTCTTACACTTGGTTCAAAACTCCCCACACAATTACTCAACATTTCCCAAAATCTCTCTCTCTCCTATATACTTCTCTCTTCCCCGGGTGCATAAATGCTTACTATAACCCACATCCAACCTTTATTTTACTCCACATAATCCTTGAATTAATACATTTATAGTCCCTCTTTTCCTGCCATAGCTTATCCTTCAACATTATTGCTACTCTTTCTTTAGCTCTAACTATTAGAAACCCCTGACCTAATCCCATTTATTCCTCTCCACTGAAACTCACCTACCCCCTTCAGCTTTGTTTCACTTAAAGCCAGGATATCCAGCTTCTTCTCATTCATAACATCCACAATCATCTCTTTCTTATCCTTTGCACAACATCCATGCACATTCAAACTTCCCACTTTGACAATTTTCTTCTTCTTATTCTTTTTAGTAATTTTTACAGGAAAAGGGGTTACTAGCCCATTGTTCCCGGCATTTTAGTTGACTTTTACAACATGCGTGGCTTACGGAGGAAAGATTCTTATTCCACTTCCCCATGGATATGAAAGGAAAAGTAATTAGAACAAGAACTAAGATAAAATCAAAGAAAACTCAGATGAGTGTGTATAAATAAACGTGTACATGTATGTTTAGTGTGACCTAAGTGTAAGTAGAAGTAGCAAGATGTACCTGTAATCTTGCATATTTACAAGACAGACAAAAGACACCAGCAATCCTACCATCATGTAAAACAATTACAGGCTTTCGTTTTACACTCACTTGGCAGAACGGTAATACCTCTCTGGGTGGTTAGTTTTACTATATGTGTATGGTAAATCAGGTTAGTGTTACTACTATGTATGTGTGTGTGCGCTAATATTATTTAATCTTGTTTCTATAGTTTTAAGTAGCCTTTTATTTGGCATTGTATAAAAAAAGTTTCTCAATCTAGCAATATGCGGTCCACCCATCTCTTTCTTGACAGACCCTATAATAATGTAAAGCACAGCCTTCCACATCTGAGACCATGCTGGTGTTCTTCAAGGAATTTAGAGCTTTCTACATGTTCATTATGTATTTTTCTTGTAATCTTTACTAATAATTTGCATGTTGCACTTGTTAGCAACACTGATCTGTAGCTCAGAATTTTTTGCTCGTCTCATCTCTTGATCTTGTACATACCAGTCAGCTGATATATTAATCATAATTTGATATGTACAAATTTGTATGAATGGTTTGTGCAGTATTTGGGTTCCTTTTCTTAGTATTTGTAGTATTCCATTGAGTCTTCATGCTTTGATGTGTTGGATTCATCACTTCCTTATTAGCAGTTTCAGTATAAAGGTATTTGTTTATATATATGTGACTGTGCTTCTTGAGATTATTAAAAACTAAATGTACCATTTTTTCAGATTGCTAAAAACTATGCATGGGCAAGTGGTGGTTCAAGCATTTTATCAGAGTTTGGCACACTACATCTTGAGTTTGTCTACCTCTCTGATATTTCTGGTGATCCTGTATTTAGGGAAAAAGTGTTCAGGATTCGGGATGTCATAAGGAAGACAGAACGCCCTGATGGCCTCTATCCTAACTACATGAATCCCAAGACAGGAAAATGGGGCCAGCGTATGTATTTCAATTTTTTTATTTATGAAATTGCAATTTAGTATTTTTGTCATTTTTACTTTTTCATCATTTTCAGAGGGCAGTAAGGCCCCCCTTTAAAAAAAAAAAAAGGAAAACTTAGTAGTAAAGTTTCGTAATATCCACATCACTACCATAGCTGAGTTATAGTCATTTTATAACTTTGAATTTGTGTAATTATTGTTACTTCACACACTACCTATGTCTTTAATGCCTTGCTACCTCTGCAAACTCTTCTTTCTTGAGTGTTGGCTACAGTCAAGAAAGAGATTGAATAGTGAAGTGGAATTACCTTTGATAACCAAGAGAGATACCTTAGAGTGTAATGGAATGATATAAAAGGTTAGTATGTAATTGTCAGGTTTCAGTACTAAATTGTGTGAGAACACAAGTACATAAGCCAACAGAAGTTTCTATATTAGACAGTGGAAGGCACTTATTGAAGATAAAATAGCTTAGAAGTAATTGTTCTATTTATTATGCAGTTTCTTTTAATATAGTATGTAAACCACTTCAAATTAAACTAATTGTGAATATTAATTGTTAAATTACATTTTATGTATTTCAGGTCACACATCTGTTGGTGCACTTGGTGACAGCTTCTATGAATATCTTTTAAAAGCCTACCTACAATCTGGGGGAAAAGATGAAGTAGCTCGAGATATGTATGTAGATGCTATTGGAGTCATAACTAACCGTTTAGTTCTTAAGTCCAACTCTGGGCTCACTTACATTGCTGAAAGTAAATTTAATCGTTTGGAGCACAAGATGGATCACTTGGCCTGCTTTTCTGGTAAGATTTATAAGTATTACACGTTACAAATGCAGTGGTCCCTTGAGTTACGATTTATCCTCATAAGGTACAGTAATTTAGTTTTGAGTTGTGATGAAAAATTTGAGATACGATACATATATGATGGTCGGTGCATATGAATGGTCCTCAACCAACTAGCGATATAGTGGCTTGCCTCTTGGGCAACATTTGAGCTGATAGAGGAATCAGTGGGGGTGTGTGAGGGAACCGTAGCAGCCAGTCAGTAATGGGAACGAATATCTCTGGGGCATCTCAGCCAATAGCAGTACTTGTCCTGCATTTTATTGTTTCATCTTCAGTTTGAAGCTACCACTTGTATGGCCAACACCAGCTCTGGGTTATTTACTCTTCAGAACTAAATTTGTGACTTAATTATGCCATCTTCAGTGTTGCCAAATCATCATGTCCCTTAAAGTGTGCAGTAAATAGGCAGTGTCTGAAGATCAAGCAAGAAATTGTGAAAAACATGATGGAATTAGACTTAGCACATTGATATATCAGTATGGCTTTCCACAATCAACTATGTCTAACGAATCTAATTAGTGAAAAGAGGCAGAGAAATGATCATAGAGATGGAAAGACTGTTGTTATTGCGGATAAGAGAGAAGCAGTTTAAGGGAGATAGTGTCTGTGAGCATGCAAGACAACTTTACTATGATTTAAAACACTATTCACCCTCACATAATGATGCTACTCCAGATGGTGGTTTTAAAGCTAGCAGAGGGTGGTTCAAGGGTTTTAAGAAAAGGACTGATATTAAAAGTGTTGTGAGACATGGTAAAGCTTTCAGTCCAAGGTATGGTAAAAGTTGAAGAATTGAGACACTTATGCAACACATGGGAATCTTCAATAAAGATTCCCATGTGTTGCATAAGTGTCTCAATTCTTCAACTTGTCGGTTTTCAAAACCATTCATCACATGGTAAAAGTTGCACTTCTGAGATCTTGGAACAAATTACCATGAAAACATGTATGTTGGAGTTTGAGTTACAATAGTTTTGAGGTACAATACATCTGGAATGGATTAATATTGTAACTCAAAGGACCACTGTATACAGTATCTCGTTTATATACCATACCTTTTGTATGATTTATCACAATTATATTTTAACTACCTCATTCCTTCAAATCTTGAAATTTGTGTAGTCAGATTTACAAAGTATGTACAGTATTTAATGTTTGGTTTAAATGGGGAAAATATGGCAGAGGAACACAAAACTAGTAGATCTGTCCTTGGACCTCGTACAGTTATTTGAGGAGTGTGGGCATTATCTGAGCAGCACCATTAAAAATCTTATTTGCTTCTCCTTATAGATGGCCTATCTGGTGGGTCAGTAATAGTAGTTGCAAACCGTAACCCACTTTACAACATTGCTGACTGCTGGTCTTCTGTAATTCATTGGCCACCAAGCAAAGTAGAAAACTGCTGTTCAACAAACAATTGTCTTATCTGCAGTTATCTAAATGACCCCAAAATGACCCCTCCCTGTGTGCCTGCTCATTGTAGGAATAACTCGCTATATTTTTTTATCATGATGGTAGCTAAGAAAGGTGGCATTACAACTAGAGATGTCACACTGCAGGGTCCATGGGTTGCTGCCAAGGAAACTGCATGCCTTCCAATGACTCTTTTTTTTAAATTTTTGCTGAATCCATTATAAGAAAGAGGAAGAGGAACCACCACTACTTCATGTGGAAGGGAGCAGAACGTCTTAAGAGCTCTCACTGTTTGTGAGAGTAGGCTGTCCACAAGGGCAAGCAGTGAAAGCCAACTTCCTACTGTTGACACTATCCATCAAGAACAGTATGAGACTTTGTGAGAAATCCCAGAAGCAGAATCTGTAGGGAATTAGTATCTATTGAGGAAACAAGTTGTAACTAGGCAAGACTAAAGTACAGCTGATGTAACAATGTAGACCTGATAAAGTTGGGTTTCGGATGTAAAAAGAATTCCTGCAGTCCCCTGAGCGTCAGGCTCTAATCAAAGGAAGACAGACCTAGAAAAAATTCCACTCATGTCTCTGTGGCCCAACTGGCATCACCATAAACTGGTTTTGAATACCCAGGAAAAATTTCAGTCCCAGTGAATTGGAATGTAGTGAATGTGGGCCTGTCGATGAGGCTCACCATGGTAAAGTAGAGGTGGCTAAAGCTTGACATTAGATACTTTTGTGAACACTGGAAGAATAAATTGTTTAGTATCAGTATGTCCAGACAGTGTTAGGTTTCTAGAGAGAGAGAGAGAGAGAGAGAGAGTGAGAGTGAGTGAGAGAGAATGTGTGTGTGTGGGCGAGAGAGAGAGAGGGAGCATAAGTGAGTGAGTGAGTCAAGTCTTCACAGGGAAGACTCAGCATTACCTATTGGATGCCAGAGGTTGATGACTGTAGAGATCCATTAATGGTATAATAATTATGTCCACAGCAGTGAGATGACATACATGGATAACAGGATAATTCATTTAGACTTTAGTTGAGGCAAACAATTTGTAGGCATGTCTCAGCATTAGTAATTGGTTGAGTAGTTGGTGGAGAATGAGCCATTACAAGGCAGTGTCAACTACTACTACACAAGATGTGAATGATAGTGATGGACTAATGGGAGAAGAACATTGTCTAGCCTTGGCCTAATTCCAGTTATGCTGAGCAGGGGAACAGTGAAGATACATATTGTCACTTACGCCACAGGATATTGTAATAGGGGATGTGAAGAGGTAGTTGCTGGACAATTCCATTTGTCTGTATTGCTGAGATGAATGGCGTGGAATGTTGCAGGATAACATGGACATGCACAGACGAGACCATGGTTGATTCGCAGTGGGGCTTCCCTGGCAGGGGTTATGTGAAACAGTTACAGGGTAGGCATACTGTTACAATATCAACACTTTCCATACTACCCACACTAGGAATGGAAATCTCCTCCAACCCACTGTAAATTTAGTGAATACACTGAACAAAAAAAGTCCATAAGAGCACAATGTGAGGCAGAAATAATGTAGAATAGTGTCCTTCACTAGTAAGGAGCAAATGGTAAGTTCACGGTATTGATGAGGTTGAGTGTAAAAGTTGTTTTAATATTCCATTACTGGTGTAGAGGTTAAACTGACTGACAGCTACTTCTGTAGTAAGTCATTGAACTCGATCCTGGATAAAAATAAAAAATAAAATTTTGAAAAATACATAATTAAATGTGCTGCAATACTGTGCATTTGGAGTACTGTAGTTTAAAAAAGATTGCATGCCTGGTAAGTGATTTAGATGTCATTGTTATGAGAGAAAATCTGTAAAGAGCAATCCTTCAAAATCCTAATATATATCAACTTCTGTTTTTTTTTATGACTTGATATGTTGGAGAGTGTAGTGTAATTGTAATTTTACAAAGGGGGTAATATTTACTAACGATTTTTCTACTGTGTTTTAACTACTTTCCAGGCGGAATGTATGCTTTGGGTGCTAAGAAAATTGAAAGCCAGTTGTCTGCAACTCACATGGAGATTGCAGAAGGTTTGGCAAATACATGTCATGAGTCTTACATTCGCACACCTATTGGACTCGGACCAGAGAGTTTCCGATTCACAGAAGGAATTGAAGCACGGGCACTAAAATCCTCTGAGAAATACTATATTCTAAGACCAGAGGTTATAGAGACTTGGTTCTACATGTGGAGATTCACCAAAGATCAAAAATACAGAGAATGGGCATGGGAGGCTGTTTTGGTAAGTCACACACATCCTCACCAGCATCAAGGAGGTTCCTTGATGCTGGTGAGGGGCTCTTGATCTAAAGAATTGGACCTGTGTTCCAATTCCTTGAATTGAGTTTGAATGCCTTCCATTTCCCAGCCATTGCATGACCCTTATGGGTTTAGCACTCCCCCATGAATGTAATGATAGTAATATTTTTATTTTATTAATCATGATGAGGTCACTTCAAATTTATGAAATTCAGGACAAATTTTTTTTGTGCATTTAACCTTTTGGGGGTTTCGGCCATACTAGTACGGCTTACGCCCTAGGGTTTTTGATGTACTAGTACACTTATATTCTAGCGCCCTCAAATCTAGTGAGAGAAAGCTGGTAGTCATACATATGAAAGAATGGGTCTATGTGGTCAGTGTGTGCAGTATAAAAAAAATCCTGCAGCACACAGTGCATAATGAGAAAAAAAACAACTTTGACTGCGTTTTTGGATTAACACAGTGACTTTGCACTGTATTTTCGTATGGTATTTATTGTTGTATTCTAGTTTTCTTGGTCTCATTTTATAGAATGGAAGACATATTACAGAAATTGAGATGATTTTGACTGGTTTTACAATGAAAAGTACCTTGAAATTGAGCTCAAAGTAGCAGAAATGTTCGATTTTTACCAAAGTTCAAAAGTAAACAAATCATGCCAAGCATCCAATATACATCAACTGGTGAGTCTAATATTCTTTCACAAGTGCGCTGATATTATTTATACCATTTCTACACTAATGCAATAGTCTGCATAACAGTAAATCTTCTATTTTTTGTAAGAATAAAAATTGAAAGTGGAAAGCCAAAGAAATACAACAGGGGCCTGGGGATGTGACTAACGAACAGAGAACTTGTTATTTTAGTGCCAGGAATGTCTGTCTTGTTTATTCTGGACCCTATTCGGAAATTGGCATCTTTTGATGCCAATTTGATGAAATTGGCAAAATTGCTAAATTCTGACCACTTTATTGGATAGTTGAAATCGGTAAATGGGTGATTTCTTGTACTCATTCGATAGAAAAAAATGGAGTTCTAGCAAAATAGTTATGATTTTTGTTGACTAGTACACTGGAATTGGCCGAAAATAGGGCTGAAAGTGGGCAAAATCGCCGATGCGTAAACATTGTCGAGACCACTAACTTTGCGAGAGCATAATTCCGTAAGTTTTTCATCAGATTTCATACTTTTGGTGTCATTATGATCGGGAAAAGATTCTCTATCTTTTCATAAGATTTTTTTTTTTTTTTTTTTTTGTTGTTGTTGTTGAAATTTTGGCGACCCTGAGAACAAGTCTCTGAGAGGGCCTGGCAACCCCCAAAGGGCTAATAAATTTTATTTTTATGTACAGTACAGTGGAACCTTGGCTTACGAGTGTTCCACCGTACAAGTTTTTTCAGGATACGAGCAGTCACTTGATCGATTTTTTGTGTCTGGATATGAGCAAAAATTCAGGATGCAAGCTTCCTCCTCAAACAACTTTTTTTTAGACCTCCAGATCTTACAAAAGTATAAGTTATTATACAGTATAATTATAGTTCATTGCCGTGATGTATTATGTTGTTTTTACTCCTTAAGACTATAACTGCAACAGAAATAATAGTATTTCTTACCTTAAATTGTGGGTGCTGGTATTTGTGGATGATTGTGAAGAGAGTTGAGAGTTATGCTGTGGTCCTACTGGGCTGAGGTGGATGGTAGAGGTTCTGGTACTGAAGTTGATGGTTATACCGGAGTGTGCATAAATTCGGTAATGGATTTCTGTTCAGTTTTACCCTGCAGTATATTATACAACTGATGGTAAGGCATCATTATACAACTGATGGTAAGACACAGTTTCAGGTTCCTCTTCAGTGAAAAAGTCTAACTTTAAGTTATTCAGTAAGTCAATCAGATCATTCAGTCAGTCAGTAAGTCAGTCAGTCAAATCATTCAGCAACACTTGTATGCCTACTGGGTGTCATGATTGCTTGGCAGATACAAGATATGGTAATTAAAAGATCAAAACACAATTCACAAATACAGCTAGCTTGTAGGAGAGAAGTGGAACTGAACATGTAAGCTTGGATGGTGGTATCGGGGATGGCAGGGGATAGCAGGAGGTCTCCCCTGCTGACCCATAACAAGGCGGCCGCTTTAGGTAGGGAATGGCCGCCACCACTTGTCACATAATGACATACTTTATTCTTTCTAGAGTATATATCAGGTTTCTATGTTATTTACATTGTTTATTATGTCATATTAGTTGAATTGTGATAGATAAATAAGCTGTAGAATTGATATTAGCATCATATTCCTGCCTCCTGAGAGCAGGAATTCCACTGGAACAGATTAATGGCATTGCAATTAATTTAAATGAGGAAAATAGACTCCGCATACGAGGAGATTGGGATATGAGCAAGGTCACGGAACGGATTAAACTCGTAAGTTGAGGCTCCACTGTACAGTGGTACCTTGGGATACGAACTTAATTCATTCCAGAAGGCTGTTCGTGTTCCAGTACTGAATGAATTTGTTCCCGTAAGGAATAATGTAAATTAGATTAATCCGTTTCAAACCCCCCAAAATTACACTTACAAAAGCACGTACATAAATACACTTACATAATTGTTCGAGTTTTGAGCTGTTCTTATCCCAGGGTACTACTATACTTGGAAGTAATTGCAGGTTATGATCTAAATCTCGGGAAAACTTTGGAAACTAGTACTAATAATATATTTGTTTTTGAGTTAACTGTGAAAAATACTTTTGGTGAATTACACGTTTGCTCTTACTGATAAGCAGATTACTGTGGTGAGAAGTTTAAAAATAGGAAAAAAAAGTGAGATGCTAGCCTAAACAAGGTTTTTATGGGAGAGAATTGCTGAAAGACTGTCAGGCATATAAATCCTTCAGTCTATCTCACTGAGGCAGAGTAACCCAAGAAAAATGGAAACCTTGCCTTGGTGAAAGACAGCTAGTGTGTTAAACATAATTAAAATGTTTTTGATATTTCTACAGCAATGTGAGATATGTAGGTCTCATTATAGACTGATCAATCCACATTTTGAGAGACCATAATATTTACAAGCATTTTAATTTTTAAGTTTGCCCAGTGGTTTAAATCAGTGTCCTCAACCTTCCTACACAAATGAGCCACATTTGATGGTCAAATATGTGATGAAGGCTACACAATTTTGTTGATGCTGTGCAGTGTGGAATCTACATAATAGTGAATTCATAATTTCATATGAGGGCCACATGCAGCCTGTGGGTCGCAGGTTGGGAACCCCTGGTTTACATCATTAATGTAACAAAGTCTCAAAAATGCTGTGAAAACTGGATATGATTTATTATAGATGTACAATGGGCATCCAATGAAACTTTTCTAGGGCAGGGCAAGGGTTTCTAAACTCGTGTAGCAAATAATGTTATAGCAGAAACAATCCCTGGAGGCAGCACAGATGAAAGGTCTCACACACATTAGCTACTAAATTTCTGCAATAAACACACCCTAAGTCAGCAGATAATGGAGCCAACAAGACTAGAAAACATACTTGACCTTATCTTCACAAATAATGAGGACCTGGTAAGAGACAATAATATCAAAAACAGCTAATTCCAATCATAATCTAATCAAAGTTCAGACTTACATGCACAGGGGTCCTGATCAGCAAAATACATGTAGCTGTGAAAGTTATTTTTTATTATCACACCGGCCGATTCCCACCAAGGCAGGGTGGCCCGAAAAAGAAAAACTTTCACCATCATTCACTCCATCACTGTCTTGCCAGAAGGGTGCTTCACACTACAGTTTTTAAACTGCAACATTAACACCCCTCCTTCAGAGTGCAGGCACTGTACTTCCCATCTCCAGGACTCGAGTCCGGCCTGCCGGTTTCCCTGAACCCCTTCATAAATGTTACTTAGCTCACACTCCAACAGCACGTCAAGTATTAAAAACCATTTGTCTCCATTCACTCCTATCAAACACGCTCACGCATGCCTGCTGGAAGTCCAAGCCCCTCGCACACAAAACCTCCTTTACCCCCTCCCTCCAACCTTTCCTAGGCTGACCCCTACCCCGCCTTCCTTCCACTACAGACTGATACACTCTTGAAGTCACTCTGTTTCGCTTCATTCTCTCTACATGTCTGAACCACCTCAACAACCCTTCCTCAGCCCTCTGGGCAACAGTTTTGGTAATCCCGCACCACCTCCTAATTTCCAAACTACGAATTCTCTGCATTATATTCACACCACACATTGCCCTCAGACATGACATCTCCACTGCCTCCAGCCTTCTCCTCGCTGCAACATTCATCACCCATGCTTCACACCCATATAAGAGCGTTGGTAAAACTATACTCTCATACATTCCCCTCTTTGCCTCCAAGGACAAAGTTCTTTGTCTCCACATACTCCTAAGTGCACCACTCAACCTTTTCCCCTCATCAATTCTATGATTCACCTCACCTTTCATAGACCCATCCACTGACACGTCCACTCCCAAATATCTGAATACATTCACCTCCTCCATACTCTCTCCCTCCAATCTGGTATTCAATCTTTCATCACCTAATCTTTTTGTTATTCTCATAACCTTACTCTTTCCTGTATTCACTTTTAATTTTTTTCTTTTGCACACCCTACCAAATTCATCCACCAATCTCTGCAACTTCTCTTCAGAATCTCCCAAGAGCACAGTGTCATCAGCAAAGAGCAGCTGTGACAACTCCCACTTTGTGTGTGATTCTTTATCTTTTAACTCCACGCCTCTTGCCAAGACCCTCGCATTTACTTCTCTTACAACCCCATCTATAAATATATTAAACAACCACGGTGACATCACACATCCTTGTCTAAGGCCTACTTTTACTGGGAAATAATTTCCCTCTTTCCTACATACTCTAACTTGAGCCTCACTATCCTCGTAAAAACTCTTCACTGCTTTCAGTAACCTACCTCCTACATCATACACCTGCAACATCTGCCACATTGTCCCCCTATCCACCCTGTCATACGCCTTTTCCAAATCCATAAATGCCACAAAGACCTCTTTAGCCTTATCTAAATACTGTTCACTTATATGTTTCACTGTAAACACCTGGTCCACACACCCCCTACCTTTCCTAAAGCCTTCTTGTTCATCTGCTATCCTATTCTCCTTCTTACTCTTAATTCTTTCAATAATAACTCTACCATACACTTTACCAGGTATACTCAACAGACTTATCCCCCTATAATTTTTGCACTCTCTTTTGTCCCCTTTGCCTTTATACAAAGGAACTATGCATGCTCCCTGCCAATCCCTAGGTACCTTACCCTCTTCCATACATTTATTAAATAATTGCACCAACCACTCCAAAACTATATCCCCACCTGCTTTTAACATTTCTATCTTTATCCCATCAATCCCGGCTGCCTTACCCCCTTTCATTTTACCTACTGCCTCACAAACTTCCCCCACACTCACAACTGGCTCTTCCTCACTCCTACAAGATGTTATTCCTCCTTGCCCTATACACGAAATCACAGCTTCCCTATCTTCATCAACATTTAACAATTCCTCAAAATATTCCCTCCATCTTCCCAATACCTCTAACTCTCCATTTAATAACTCTCCTCTCCTATTTTTAACTGACAAATCTATTTGTTCTCTAGGCTTCCTTAACATGTTAATCTCACTCCAAAACTTTTTCTTATTTTCAACAAAATTTGTTGATAACATTTCACCCACTCTCTCATTTGCTCTCTTTTTACATTGCTTCATCACTCTCTTAACCTCTCTCTTTTTCTCCATATACTCTTCCCTCCTTGCATCATTTCTACTTTGTAAAAACTTCTCATATGCTAACTTTTTCTCCCTTACTACTCTCTTTACATCATCATTCCACCAATCGCTCCTCTTCCCTCCCGCACCCACTTTCCTGTAACCACAAACTTCTGCTGAACACACTAACACTACATTTTTAAACCTACCCCATACCTCTTCGACCCCATTGCCTATGCTCTCATTAGCCCATCTATCCTCCAATAGCTGTTTATATCTTACCCTAATTGCCTCCTCTTTTAGTTTATAAACCTTCACCTCTCTCTTCCCTGATGCTTCTATTCTCCTTGTATCCCATCTACCTTTTACTCTCAGTGTAGCTACAACTAGAAAGTGATCTGATATATCTGTGGCCCCTCTATAAACATGTACATCCTGAAGTCTACTCAACAGTCTTTTATCTACCAATACATAATCCAACAAACTACTGTCATTTCGCCCTACATCATATCTTGTATACTTATTTATCCTCTTTTTCTTAAAATATGTATTACTTATAACTAAACCCCTTTCTATACAAAGTTCAATCAAAGGGCTCCCATTATCATTTACACCTGGCACCCCAAACTTACCTACCACACCATCTCTAAAAGTTTCTCCTACTTTAGCATTCAGGTCCCGTACCACAATTACTCTCTCATTTGGTTCAAAGGCTCCTATACATTCACTTAACATCTCCCAAAATCTCTCTCTCTCTCCTCTACGTTCCTCTCTTCTCCAGGTGCATACACGCTTATTATGACCCACTTTTCGCATCCAACCTTTACTTTAATCCACATAATTCTTGAATTTACTCATTCATATTCTCTTTTCTCCTTCCATAACTGATCCTTCAACATTACTGCTACCTCTTCCTTTGCTCTAACTCTCCCAGATGCTCCAGATTTAATCCCATTTATTTCCCCCCACCGAAACTCCCCTACCCCCTTCAGCTCTGTTCCACTTAGGGCCAGGACATCCAACTTCTTTTCATTCATAACATCAGCAATCATCTGTTTCTTGTCATCCGCACTACATCCAGGCACATTCAAGCATCCCAGTTTTATAAAGTTTTTCTTCTCTTTTTTAGTAAATGTCTACAGGAGAAGGGGTTACTAGCCCATTGCTCCCGGCATTTTAGTCGCCTCATACGACACGCATGGCTTACGGAGGAAAGATTCTTTTCCACTTCCCCATGGACAATAGAAGAAATAAAGAAGAACAAGAGCTATTTAGAAAAAGGAGAAAAACCTATATGTATGTATATATATATATGAATGTGCATGTCTGTGAAGTGTGACCAAAGTGTAAGTAGGAGTAGCAAGATATCCCTGTTGTCTAGCGTGTTTATGAGACAGAAAAAGAAACCAGGTGAACCATGTCTTAAATGAAACACATTGGGAAGATATCTTAAATAACATGGATCCAAACCAGTGTCTTGAAAGGATCAACTTCCTGGCAGCTGAATTATGTTCAAGGCATATTCCCCTAAGAAAAAAGAAGAGAAGAAATGAACTGGAGAGAGAAAGACGCTCCCTCTACATAAGATGACGAAGAATCACTGAGCTCCTCAAGAACGCTAGATTATCTGATAGACGGAAGGAAGCACTGACCAGAAAAGTGGAAAGTATCAAATTTAAGTCTTAGGGCTATTGCAGGACCCAGGAGAGACAGAAGCTAAGAGCGATTATTGACGTTGAAAGAAATTCAAAATATTTCTTTTCATATGCCAAAAACAAGGCAGTTACCACATCTAGTATCAGGCCCTTGCTCAGACAAGATGGGACTTACACAGATGACAACAAAGAAATGAGTGAGATACTGAAATCCCAGTACGACTGTTTAGTGAGCCACTAATCAGTCTAAAGGTCGACAATCCAGATGATTTTTTCCACGAATAAGCCTCAAAACTCCATCAGTGTATGCCAGATTTTCAACATTATTAACTCCAATGGACTTTGAGAAAGCCATTGACAACATGCCCATGCACTCAGCCCCATCCCCAGACTCGTTGAATTCAAAGCTCTAAGTATACTATGGAGAAGGAACTTACACATGAGTGAAATTCCAGTCACCAAAAACAATGGATTTAGCCCCACTTCATAAAGGTGGCAGCAAAGCGTTAGCTAAGAACTATAGACCAATAGCTCTGACATCTCACATCATAAAAATCTTTGAAAGAGTGCTAAGAAATGCGATTGCAAACTACTTGGATTCCCAAAAACTGCACAGTCCAAGGCAGCATGGGCTCACAGCAGGTCGCTCCTGCCTCTCGCAACTACTGGATCACCATGACATGGTTTGGATGCACTGGAAGAAAAACGGAATACAGATGTAATATACACAGACTTTGCAAAAGCCTCTGACAAGTGCAATCATGGTGTAATAGCACACAAAATACGTGCTAAAGGAATAACTAGCAAAGTGGAGAGATGGATCTTCAGCTTTCTAACCAAACGAGCACAAAGAATGGTGGTCAAGAGAGTTAAATCAGAAGCTGCCATAGTGAAAAGCTCTGATCCACATGGCACAGTACTTGCCCCCATCCTGTTCCTCATCCTCATATCAGACATAGACAGAGATGTAATCCACAACACCATGTCATCCTTTGCAAACAATACTAGGATCTGCATGAGACTGTCTGTTGAGGACATGGTTAACCTCCAAGAAGATAGTATAAACCAAGTTTTCCAATGGGCAATGGGAAACAATATGATTTTCAATGAAGACAAATTCCAATTACTCTGTTATGGAAAACTGGAGGAGATAATAACTAGAACTGAGTATACTACAAACTCTGATCATACAATAGAGCAGAAAAATAATGTTAAGGACCTGGGAGTGGTAATGTCTTAAGATCTCACTTTCAAGGATCACAACAGTGCCACAATCACAACTGCAAAGAAATTGATGGGCTGGATAATGAAAACGTTCAAAACGAGATGCCAAGCCAGTGATGATCCTTTTCAAATCACTTGTTCTCTCTAGGCTGGAATATTGCTGTACATTAACATCTCCATTCAAAGCAGGTGAAATTGCAGATCTAGAGAATGTACAGAGAACCTTTACTGCACAGATAAGTTCTATCAAACACCTCAACTACTTGGAACTCTTGGAAGAATTTGACTTGTACTCGCTGGAATGCAGGCGAGAGAGATGCATCATAATCACTTAAAAAATCCTAGAAGGAATGGTCCCGAATCTGCACACAGAAATCACTCCCTACGAAAGTAAAAGACTGGGTAGGCGGTGCAAAATACTCCCAGTGAAAAGTAGGGGTGCCATTGGTACACTAAGAGAAAACATCATAAGTGTCTGGGGCCCAAGACTGTTCAGCAGCCTCCCTCCATGCATAAAGGGAATTACCAATAGGCTCCTGGCTGCTTTTAAGAGAGAGCTGGACAGATACTTAGTCTGTGCTGGATCAGCTGGGCTGTGGTTTGTTTGTTGGCCTACGTGCGGCCAGCAGTAACAGCCTGGTTGATCAGGCTCTGATCCACCGGGAGGCCTTGTAGTGGACCGGGCTGCAGGGGCATTGATCCCTGGAATAACCTCCAGGTAGGCCTGATCCAGGAAAAGGAAACTGGTTTTTCTCCATCTATCTCCCCCCCCCCCCATCCCCTCAAGTGGATACATGTACTGTATTTTTATTTATCATTTTCCTAATGATTGATACATAGTAGGTATATCATCCTGCAGATTGAATGATTGATTGATCATGAATAGCGTTTAAATTTGGCAAACTTGATTGATCAATAAAGTATTTACCAAAGGTTGTTGACTAGGTGGTCATGGCATCAGTAGTGGAATTGTCACTGGGGTCAAATGCACAGTATGTCATGCTACCATCTCTAAATTCTCAAATGAATCTTGAATGCTCTTTACGACCTATTAGGTAAACCTTAGAATATTTTAAAACACCATATGGCTTCCATGCTAAAATTTGTTTTTGTATGTAAATGTTGATTTATATAGTTTAATAGATGTGTTGTATTGATACATGAACACCTTTTCAGGCCTTAGAGAAATATTGTCGAGCTGAGGCAGGCTACAGTGGCATTCAGAATGTGTACATGGAAAATCCTCAGAAGGATGATGTTCAGCAAAGTTTCATCTTTGCTGAAACATTTAAGGTGAGTGAGTGAAGGTAAATTGTTTTTATGACTTGACATGCTGTTGGAGTGTGAGAACAGTAACATTTACGAAGGGATTCAGGGAAACCGATTTGCTGGACTTGAGTCTTGGAGATGGGAAGTACAGTGCCTGCATTCTGAAGGAGGGCTGAGGATATTGCAGTGTGGAAGAGCATCTGAGCTGAAGTATTGACTCACCTTTGGCAAGACAGTAATGGAGTCAGTGATGGTGAAATTGTTTCTTCTTTTTCAGGTCACCCTACCTCAGTGAGAGATGTGCATACACTTGTGCGCGCACGTATGTACTTACATACGTTGAAGACACTGAAAGGGTTAAGCAAGGATAGTGATGAACTGGAAGGTTGATCATACAAAATAAAATTAACCCTTTCAGGGTTTCGGCCGTACTAGTACGGCTTATGTGCCAGGGTTTTTGACGTACTAGTACGCCTAAATTCTAGCGCCCTCAAATCTAGTGAGAGAAAACTGGTAGGCCTACATATGAAAGAATGGGTCTGTGTGGTCAGTGTGTGTGGTATAAAAAAAATCCTGCAGCACACAGTGCGTAATGAGAAAAAAAAACTTTGACCGGCGTTTCACTTTACGGCTTTCCGCTAATACGGTCATTTCAAATTATGACCAAAACTCGCTATACGGCTCCCCCCACCTGACTTTCTAATACGGTCACCGCGCCCCACCTTGTTTGTTTACATTCTTCGTGAGCTCAGTAAGCACTAAGTCTCTCCATTTTGTCTGGAAACTCCAAAATTTCAAATGTTTTTAAAAGTTATTTCATATTTTATATATACTCTGATAGTTATACTTATGTATACCTGTACTTAAATGAACTTACATACTGTGCTGGCGTGCAGGTACACATTAAAATCAGTAAGAGTGTCTTATGTCTCCAGACGTCATATTAGTAATGATAATAATAATCATCGAGTCTCATTTAAATGTCGTATATTACGTTAAATACACATTTTCATTAATCCATCTATGATATTTTTTCAAAATTATATAATAAACACGATACATAACATAAAAAGATGATAAATACACCCCACAATAGAATAAATAAACATAAATATGAGATGTGGTAGCAGACGACTTGCACAAGTGACGCCATATTAGAAATGCTAATAATAATAATAATAATCACCGAGTCTCATTAAATGTTGTATATTACGTTAATATACACATTTTCATTAATCCATCCATGATATTTTTTTCAAAATTATATAATAAACACGATACATAACATAAAAAGATGATAAATACACCCTACAATAGAATAAATAAACATAAATATGAGATGTGGTAGCCAGATAACTTGTACAAGTGATGCCAAGAATAACATTTTCTCTAATCTAACATAAGAGAAAATGTGTTACTGGGGGTAACTGTAGAAAATTATTCCTTTTGTATGTATGTAAGTAAGTTTATTCAGGTATACACAAATACAGTTACATAGATTATCATACATAACAACATATGTGTAGAGAACCTAGGATAACCCAAAAAAGTCAGAGTGACTTATTTCCATTGCCTTCACCCAGAGCATCATTTCTTCTCAAAATGATGTTACATGAGAATGGGAGTGTTCTTCTTTATTTATTCTACCGTATCAATGTAGAGACAACCTGTACACAATGTAACTTGTACACAAACCAGACGTGTACACTTCGTTTACAAAACTTACCTTCACCTGGTTTGTTTACATAACTCTGCGCCTGTCCTCTCTCATGCACTCATTCTTTCTCTCTCTCATTTATTCGTTTTATCTCATTTACTTACTCCTGACCCTACATTAAGACTACAAATATTTTAAGGTAAGTAATGAGTGAACTGTATATACATTTTATCACGCTCTGGGATGCTTAAATGTAATAGAATATTATGTGTAGGTGGGTTGGCCTGGTATGGTAGCCCGGCTGACTACCATACATACCACGCTTGATTTTTTACAATAAATACTACTCATCTCACCCTATATTTTAAGGTAAGTAATGAGTGAACTGTATATGCATTTTATCGCTCTGGGATGCTTAAATATCATAGAATTGTATGTGTGGGTGGGGTGGCCTGGTATGGTAGCCTGGCTGACTACCATACATACCACACTTGATTTCTTACAATAAATACTACTTGTCTCACCCTAGATTAAGACTATAAATATTTTAAGGTAAGTAATGAGTGCACTATGTGTGTATTGTACTTTTTTATTGTTTTTTGATGCCTGGTTCTATTGCTAACTTAATATATGTTAGTGTAAGCTTGTTATCTAGTGTTTGTATGCAATTGTAAGTGGAAAAAAAGGGTGTTCCACTTTACGGCGGTTTCCGCTTTACGGCGGTAGCCTGGAACCTAACCAGCCGTATAAGTGGGGCCTTCCTGTATACAGTGCATTCTCTCGTGTAGTGCCCCAAACGTATATATACGTTTCATTTGTCATTCATTCAACATTGGCATGTTAGGCCTGAGCCGCCTAGGCATGAGAGAATGGGTGTGCACACTCATTGTGCACCATATGAAAAATTTGGGAATGCCTGGGTACCATATGCTCTTTTTTCCTATAAAAAATTTAGTTTTTTCTCAAAATATTCGGGGTGCTGCGCAGGTGAACGTATATATATGTTTGGACCATTTAAGGGTTAAAATAAGCTTGATAAATATTATATTTTTATATAGAGCTGTGACTTGCATAGTTTGCCTTGCCATGAAGCTCTTTATAAACAAGCCTACTTTTATTTATTAATTATAGTGAGTTATATAATTTCTGTTTAATATGCTTATATACATTTGCTGAAATTGCTTGATTGAGTGAATGATAAACTCTTCCTAACATTGTTTAAAATCTGTCCACTTACACTCATTTTTATAGAGTGTAGACTCTCAGAAGGAATGTAGGTTATGTTTGAAAACTGGTAAGTGTTACAAAAAAAAATGCACTAATCAAATTGAAAAATATATGGAAAAATTTGGGTATATTCCAAACTTCTCTTGGTCAAACATCTCTTAAGTTAATTATTTCCTCTCCCCATTTCCCCCTTCCAAAATAATGACAATTTTTTTTTTTTTATTAACTTTCACTTGATTCCCAGCATTTCTTATTAGTGAGAAAGTACAAATGATGTAAGCTGAGTGTTTTTTTATATATTTTCAGTTTATGACAACTTTTGTGCTAATTTTTATTTACATAATTCCTTTCTTATTTCCACAGTACCTGTACTTGATATTCTCAGATGACTCTCTTCTGAGTTTGGATGAATGGGTGTTAAATACAGAAGCTCATCCAATCCCCGTAGAGGGTAACAATGCATTTTACCGTAAATCCCAAGGTATGTCACAATATAGATGAAGATTTGAATGGTGGTAGTAAATTACACAAATACTGTATGGTTTTCATACAGTGTGTGTGTGCAAGTGCATGTGCGCACGCATGTGTAACTCATAATCATGAGGTGGAGTGTTAATGTTGATATTTTTAAGCACACATGTACTATTAATATTTTAAAAAAGTATCTGTGGTATCAGCCGTTTTTCTACTGATTCCAATCTTGCGGGAGAAAGCTGGTTGGCCTACATATGAGAGAATGGGTCTGAGTGGTTAGTGTGCGCAGTATAAAAAAATACTGCAGCAAACAGTGCAGGATGAGAGAAAAAAAACTCCAACCTTGTTTTTTGTTTCAAACAAAGACTTTGCAGTATATTTTCGTATGGTATTTATGGTTATTTCCTCGTTTTCTTGGTCTCATTTGATAGAATGGAAGATATATTACAGAACTAGAGCTGATTTTGAATGGTTTACGGAATAAAAGTACTTTCAAATTGAGCTCAGATTAGCAGAAATGTTTGATTTTTTGCTGATGTTCAAGAGTAAACAAATCGGGTCATGCATCCAATACATGTCAACTGGTGGGTCTGATATGCTTTCACAGATGCACTGATATTATTTATACTATTTTGACAATAATGCAGTAGTCTGCATAACAGTAAATCTTTTATTTTGTATGAAAAAAAAATTCAAAATGGAAAGCAGCCATAATATAAAAGGGGCCTGGAAACGTGACCAATGAACAGAGAAAATGTTATTTTAGTGCTAGGAATGTTTGCAGTGTTAATTCTGGACCCTATTTTGAAATTGGCCTTCCTTGAATTATGTATGAAATTGACCAAATTACCAATTTCTGTTTACTTTATTGGGTAGTTGAAATCAGTAAACAGGCGGTTTCTTGTACTCAGTCGATAGAACAAAAGGAGTTCTAGCAAAATAACTATGTCGACTAGAACAATGGAATTGGCTGAAAATAAGGCTCAAAGTGGGCAAAATCGCCAATGCATAAATATCGCCGAGACCACTGACTTCATGGAAGCATAATTATGTAAGTTTTCCATCAAATTTCATACTTTTGGTGTCATTACCATTGGGAAAGATTCTCTATCATTTCACAATTTTTTTTTTTTTTTTTTAATTCTTCAACACTGAGAGCAAGTTTGTGAGCAGGGGTCTCGACAGTAAAAAGATTAAAGGATATCGGCTGTTTGGAGTAACATCCGAACTGCCACAACTGGGCTCCTTTGCAAAGACAGTGATTGTGTGAATGATGATGAAAGTGTTTCTTTTTTGGGCACCCTGCCTAGGTGGGAGATGGCCTACGTGTTGAAAAAAAAAAATATGTCCATGTACATACGTGTGTGTGCATGCATGTGTATGCACTAAATAAAAAAAGAATCCTGCCCCACACAGTGCATGTTGGGAAAAAGCAAACCTCTGACCTTGCGTTTAATTTAAAATAACTTTGGGAGGTTTCCTTGGGTGGTGTTTTATGGTTTTATTGGCTGTTTCTTGGTATCAGTTGATAGACTGGAAGACCCACAAGTGAAATAGATTTGGGTCAGTTTCACAATTTGCAGTGGCTTGAAATAGGACACAAAGTAGCAGAAATATCTGATTTTTGGTGACTTTCCAGAGGAAGAGTAGGGCCCCTAAACACATGATCTGTTTTATGGATTTTTACTAGGTCTGTTTCAATTATTGAGATAGCCTAAACCAGGAAGAGTCCTTGGAAATACAGTGGAACCTCAGTTTTTGTATGCCCCAGTTTTTGTAGGATTCGGTTTTTGATGACTTTTTTCATCTAAATTTTGTCCCAGTTTTCATGTATCCTCTCAGTTTTCGTAGAGTTGAAAATGGTCCATACGAAACACATCCGCGTGACTCGGCCAATAAGCACCCACACAAAGCATCCCATGCATTTGTGACTCAGTCTGCCTTTGTTTCTCATTGAGTGACCAGAATGTGGAAGAATTGTGGACAACCCCAGGGAAGAGATAGCCAATGAAGAGCTGCAAGGCCTTCAACTGGAACAACAACAGACCACAGCTGAGGCAATTGCTTCAGAGGAGGAAGAAGAGAGGCAGGTGAATGTGCCTTCTTCTGTGATTAAGGATATGTGTGCAAAGTGGAGTGAGTTGCTAAGTTTTGTGGAGAAATATCACCCTAACAAAGCTGTTGCAAGCCATGTCTGCAACATGTTCAATGACAATGCCTTGTCCCATTTTAGGCAAATCTTAAAGTGGCACCAGAAACAGACCTCTCTGGACAGATTTTTTGTGCGACAGGGGTACAGTGACTCAAGCTGGTCCTAGTGCTAGTAAATGACAAAGAAGAGTGGTAACCCCAGATAGGGCCTTGATACCTGAAGTCCTAATGGAAGAGGATTCCCCTTCCAAACAGTAACCTCTCCTCCTCCTCCCCCCCTCCTCACCGTCTTCCATACGCCAACAAGAGTCTTCAATATAGGTAAAAGTGATGTTAAGTGTTCATTCATCCATTTCATTAGTCATTTATATTTATTTATCATTGTTTTCTGTATGTAAAACTATAGTTATTCTCTATAAAATGTATTTTTTGTTAATATTTTTGGGTCTCTGAAATGGATTAATTGGATTTACATTATTTCTTATGGGAAATATTGCTTCAGTTTTCGTATGATTCAGTTTTCGTCAGACTTTTTAGAATGGATTAATCACGAAAACTGAGGTTTCACTGTATTTTATTATCAAGGAAATAGGGTAAAACTTTTTTTTTAATGATGGATTTAAAATACGTAGAGGCAAATGTTATATAGGAGAGGCCTGGGGACGTGTGTAATGAACAGAGGATAGGTTGCTTTGGTGGCTGGAATGTTTAAGTTATTTTTTCTACTCTTTTTAAAACTGGAATATGTTGAAGTTTGTGTAAAATTGGTCAAATTGCCAACTGCTGGGCAAGTTATAGAGTAGTTCTGATGGTTGAATGAACACTTTCTTGCACCCATAATCATGAGTGCATACTACTGAAATAGCAGAAATTTTGTCGAATTGAGCAATGAAATTGGCTTAAAACAGAACTGAGAAGTGAGCAAAATTTTTGATGTATAAATTGTATCCAGACTGCTAACTTTACACCTGCATTATTCTGTAAATTTACCATCAAATTTTTTATTTTTGGTGTCATTACCTTCAGAAAAAATGATCATTTCATTAGATTTTTTTTTTTAAATCATGGCACTTCCAGCACTTTTAATTTTGGGGGTTGCAACAGTGAAATGCTTAAGCTGTTTTTACACAGGAAAAGGTATGTACAGTAGGGCCCCACTTATACGGCAGGTTAGGTTCCAGGTCACTGCCGTAAAGCGGAAATCGCCGTAAAGTGGAACACCCTTTTTTTCCTTATAAATGTATACAAATACTAGATAACAAGTTTACACTAACATATATTAAGTTAGCAATAGAACTAAGCATCAAAAAACAATAATAAAGTACAATACACACATAGTGCACTCATTACTTACCTTAAAATATTTATTGTCTTAATCTAGGGTGAGATGAGCGATAAAATGCATAAACAGTTCACTCATACTTACCTTAAAATATTTGTAGTCTTAATGTAGGGTCAGGGGTGAGTAAACGAGATAAAACGAGTAAATGAGAGAGAGAGAGAATGAGTACATGAGGGAGGACAGGCGCAGTTATGTAAATAAACCAGGCGAACGTAAGTTTTGTAAACAACAAAGTGTACATGTCTGGTTTGTGTACATGTTACATTGTGTACAAGTTGTCTCTACATTGATATGGTAGAATAAATAAAGAAGAACACTCTGAGTGAAGGCAGTGGAAAGAAGTCACTCTGTCTGACTTTTTTTGGGTTATCCCAGGTTCTCTACACATATGCTGTTATGTATGATAATCTATGTAACTGTATTTGTGTATACCTGAATAAACTTACATACATACAAAAGGAATAATTTTTTACAGTTACCTCCAGTAACACATTTTCTCTTATGTTAGACTAGAGAAAATGTTATTCTTGCCATCACTTGTACAAGTTATCTGGCTACGCCATCTCATATTTATGTTTATTTATTCTATTGTGGGGTGTATATATCATCTTTATATGTTATGTATCGTGTTTATTATATAATTTTGAAAAAAATATCATGGATGGATTAATGAAAATATGTATATTAACGTAATATACGACATTTAATGAGACTCGATGATTATTATTATTATTATTATTATTACTAATATGACGTCTCGAGATACAAGACACTCTTACTGATTTTAATGTGTACCGGCACGCCAGCACAGTATGTAAGTTTATTTAGGTACAGGTATACATAAGTATAATTTTCAGAGTATATATAAAATATGAAATAACTTTTAAAAACACTTGAAATTTTGTTGTTTCCAGACATAATGGAGAGACTTAGTGCTTGGATCTCACAGAGAATGTAAACAAACCAGGTGGGATGCGGTGACCGTATTAGAAAGTCAGGTGGGGGGAGCCGTATAGCGAGTTTTGGTCATAATTTGAAATGACCGTATTAGCAGAACGCTGTAAAGCGGAATGCCGTAAAGCGGGGCCCTACTGTATATCATTACGTGATATTGACCACAGCAATAATGATGAGGGAAGTGACAATGAGTATAACTAAAAGCTAGAAAGTGCCAATTTTTGTGATCATTTTTTGACTAAGGCCTGTAAACACTTTCCTGGGTGCACAATAATTATCCACATGGAGACAGACTCAGGAGATTGATTGATCTGTATATTTCAACCCAGAAGGGGGTTCAAATAAACAGATCAGTCAATCTCCTGAGTTTGTCTCCTCTTTTTTTTTTATCATTTTAACACGTTGGTTGTCTCCCACTGAGGCAGGGTGACCCGAAAAGAAAGAAAATCCCCAAAAAGAAAAACTTTCATCATCATTCAACACTTTCACCTCACTCATACATAATCACTGTCTTTGCAGAGGTGCTCAGATACGACAGTTTAGAAGTCCTTCCAAAC